CAGTTCTGCTTGTGATAAGATGGTCTCTTTGGTATGGCCCCTCCTCCATTGCTGGCCCTCTTCCTTGTTGACAGTCGTGTCAAACTGGTTGAAAACCAGGGGCCGTACCAAAGAGACCATCTTATCACAAACAAAACTGGTTTGTTCCACTTTGGAGTAAGCTGTTGGGGGAAGAATCAGTTTTGTTGTGTGTTTCCTTGACTGATGAAGCCTTCTGGATCGAAGGCGAAACGTTTCAGCACAAAAAAAAAGAAACTGTCCAGATGACCTGACTGAAAAATGTTGGATTGTATACCTGGATTATTGAGCATGGACTTTGTTGTTTTCAACCAGTTTAACACGACTGTCAATCACTGTGCGAGGGGCGGGGTACACCCTGGACGGGTCACAAGTCCATCACAGGGCCACATAGAGACAAACAACCGTTCACTCTCTCAATCACACCTAGGGACAATTACCAATCAGCCTAACATGCATGTTTTTGGTCTGTGGGAGAAAACCCACGCATGCACGGAGAGAACATGCAACCAAAGAGACCATCTTATCACAAACAAAACTGGTTTGTTCCACTTTGGAGTAAGCTGTTGGGGGAAGAATCAGTTTTGTTGTGTGTTTCCTTGACTGTTGAAGCCTTACAGATCGCAAGCAAAACATTTCAGCACAAAAAAAGAAACTGTCCAGATAACCTGACTGAAAAATGTTTGATTGGTGCCAGACCATAATAACCATGCTGCTGTTGTACGTCCTATTGTTTTGTATCATTAGCAGCATTCAAGCTCTTGTGTTCATATTTGTGTTATACTGGAGTTTCTCTGTGCAGTGTTTGGCTTTTGTTGGACTCACCCCAATTAACAGGTAATAATTATTTATTGTCATGGCCAGAGGTATGTAAATAAGCAATTAACAGAGCTGAGCTAGGTGATCTGTACTATGGTTTACTGCATTAGAATATTCACTGCTGCGAGTCAAGAATAAAATAATAATAATAAAGATTTTCAAAATTTCATGAAATTTCATGAGATTTTTAATCCAAAAAGTTGCAAAAATGAGCCAAATTTAATGTTTTACCTACAATGCTTTGCGGCAACATGATCATGATCCATGTTTCTATTGGTCAAAACGAACCAATCATTGACTTTGGGTGTTTTTAAGACGCCTTTAACTTTTCTGCCCCTCCCATTGTATAAGAATAACGCGACTTGACGCCCCTACCTGTCTGTTTTGCAGAGGTACCTCTCTCTTAAACCTCGTTTAGGTGCATTCACGTTGCGAGTTTGAACACCCTGTTACAGCCATGTCTGGAAAAGTTACTCTGCACTATTTCAACGGGAGGGGGAAAATGGAGTCAATCCG